CTTGGGAATATAGTGGAAATCTTAGAGGTGCTCTGAGAAATGGACGTAGGTCAAGTGGTTGAGATCGAACTAGTATAAACTCTGTGTCTTCATTCTTTAGTGAAACCTTACGAACTCGTCTACTCTGTTTTATCTGTTCAAACATTTTATTTAGTTAATTTTTATACATCACCCAATTCACCCACTCTTGGGTGATGCTGCCACTAACAAAAGTAGCATAAAGAAGGTAGGCTGCCAAGCTCCTTTGAGTAGAAGTTCCAAAGATGTGAAAGAAAGCTAGAACGGGAATATGGACTAAATTGCAAAGTGATAAAGTTTCTAGGAGCAAAAGTATAACTAAAGTCAAGGGCTCTAGGAGAGTCTTAAGGGCTTAGAAAGGAAAATAGCTTAGGTGTAGACCTAAGGTTAAGGTGCAGGATTCAAAATGATGATTCATGAGGTTGAGCCCAAGCAAGGGCAAAACCATAATTTCAGAAAGTTATGGGCTTATATGGATAATTATGAAAAGTATACAGAAAATTTTAGAAAAATTTCAAAAAATGGGAAATGGTGTATAGAGGCATTTTGATAAAGACAAATGATGAAAATGCCCCTATAATAGCTTTAATGGAATTTTCAGTATAGTGGCTCAATTTGAGGTAATTATCTAGATGCAATTATTTGAGTTATGAGGAGGCCTGAAAAATATACATAAAAATGGGAAACAAATAGTTAAGAGGCTAAAGAAGTTTATAAAATTAATCCCATCCCCAGAAGGCCAGTAGAGTGGCTTTAATAAAATATAAAGGCCAGTTGTGCATCTAAGAGGCATTTTACAGGAAATTCAAAAAGAAATAGTTAAAGAAAGATTTATGACCCAAGAAAATTCATAGACAAATGAATTTTTTGTGCTCTAGAAGGCCATTAAGAAAGTCAAATAAATGTAAGCTAAGTAAATTAGAAAGAAACTTGGAGTTCAGGTTTGATCCAAGGGTCAAGATCTAATCTTCTCCTTTCTTTCCATGAGATTTTGCCACATGGCATGGTGAGGCAAGAAAGAAGTTTGATGATGTAAAGGGTATAATGTCATGAGGACACTTGGCAAGGTCTTGTGGAAGAAGACTTGAAGCTTGGACAAGTGACCTTTGGAATTGTCATATTTTATCAAGGGCAAAGTAGGCAACCCTTGTCATAATTGTGGCTATAGATACCCCCTATGGAAGAGCATTTTGGCAAGCACTTATAGAGTGGAAACTCTATAAAAAAAAATTAGAGAGAAAAATGAAAAGAAAAACATGGGGGTAAAGGCCAAGAAGAAGGAACAAGATTCAAGCTTCAATATCAAGGTATGTGATGATTCCAGCACCTATCTTGATGCCTATTTTGATTAAGTTCCTATTCATATTTGACGTTGGAATTTGGTGTGATTAAAGTACACTCCCTAAGATTTAAATCCATAGGTAGAACACTTCATTTGGATATATGTACAAATTATGGTGATTTTTCAAAGTTAGGGTCTAAAATCTAGAAACAGTTTTTGACTATTAGAATAGTAAAAACTTCAATATTTGATCCTGTTTCACACTAAATTGGTTCCTAAAACTATTTTTCTTTAAAGAGCACTTGAGGAGCTTTTAGTAGGACTTAGAACTACTCAATTTTGACTTTTTTGAAATTAATTACGAATTTTTAAATTTGAGCAAAAATTCTGAAAATACCGAATGAATAGTACCTGCGAAGTAAAAATTTCAGATTTGATCTTCTTGAATCTAAAGTCATCCAAAGTGGTGCTATTGACTGAAATGTTTAAGTATGGGAAATGATGATATTTATGCTAGAAATATGGCTAAAGGATAGAAAGGAGAAACCAAGTGGTATTGCATGATAGTTTGATGATTTCATGAATAGGAGACCCCAAGAGGTGCCTCAGTCTTGACTGGTTCTTGTACCTAGGATGTGATTTTCTTGATGTTGACCAAAGGCCTTCATAGTTGGGAAGTCAAGGGAGTCAAAGGAAAAGCAAGAGGAAAGCTTATGGTACAAGGTAGTGAACTTACCTATCTTATATGCTTGATGTTTATGCTTGTGTTGATTTGCATGATGCTAATTGTGATCATATGAGCTATGTATGAATGATGTATGTTTTATCTCTTGATGATTTTATGGCCATGCATGTAGTAGGAGACATTGAGCATGAGATTAGATCACTAAATTGGTATAAATATAATCAAGGAAGCATATCATAGACTTGCATTCATCTTATATATTGATGGTATTGTTTGCTACTGAGATTTTTTCAAATCTCACCCCTTCCTTAACCAACCATAGTAGGTCAAATGATGAGGAGAAATCATGCATGAAGAAGGGCAAGAAGATGGAAGCAAAGAAAGTGGAGAATTTCTATGTGTTACAATGTGATGCTTTAATTCACTAGTAATGTAATTATTTTGTAAACATGCCTAACATGAAATGTGATCATGTATGATGTTAATGACATGTAATTTAAAGTATAAGAACAAATGGAAAACCCTAAGGCCAATTTATGCATGCTTGAATTAAGGAAGAATTAAAAGTAAGAGGCTAATGAAAGATAAAACATAGGTCCTGAAGTAGTAAGGTTCCGGCTCCAGTTTGACCTAGGAAATGGTTGAATCTAATCACAAAATTTGGTGATCATATAGTAAACATCCCAAGCTTCAAAAGCATGGGTAGTTTGCCTTATTTAGATGTGTACATTAGGATATTTGAATTTTAGAAATTGAGGCAGAAAATCTGGAAGTTCAAGAAGTGACCAAATGAACAGTAAAGTTCAACGAATAAACTGTATGAATTAGTTAATGATAAGTCCAGTTTCATATTTTTTCCTAGTAGGGCATTAAAAGTGCTTAGATTAGAAATTTGGAACAACCCTATATGATTTTTATAGAATTAATTATGAATTTCTAAAATTAGACCTGTAATTTAGAATTTATGCATAAACAGTACCCGAGGACCATAATGAAAAGTTCTAAAGTTTTCGAGCTAAAGTAACGATTCTGCATGCTATAAGGAGTAAAAGTAAGGATGTTTCACTCCTCATATTTTAAATAATTGATTTTGACAAAATAAGTCAAAATTCTCATAATTGGCCAAATTTCTAAAAATCCATTCCAATGGCATTTTCATAATTTTTAACCTTAAATGGGCCTTAACACCTCATTTCCTATTTTTAGGATTTTTTAATGAAATTTTCAGGTGTAATTTCCAAAAATGCCCTTCGTTAACCAGAACTTTTCAAAATAATAGTTCGATCCTCTACCTGGGTTTCACTTAAAAGTTGTTTCGTCTCTGCCTCTTATTTTATTTGAGCCTTAATCAATTGTAAATTCCTCATACTCAGCTCTCAAGACTTTATCAAAGTCTCTATCTTTTTCATTTCTCAGTCTTAGAATACTTTTGCTTTATAATTTGGCCTCTGAGAATCCTTATATCCTTTCAGGGCATTTCTGGGACTCTTGCCAAAAAGAGTCTTGGTAGCTTTCCCATTTTAGGTTATTTTTTGCACTTATAAGCCTAAAATTTAGAATGTTACAGAAGACACATCTTCACTACAGTGAATGTGCATTTATTAGCATGCATATTTTCATACTTAGATGCGAATTTAGAGCTTACCCACCCCCAACCCGACCTAGAACCATCTCTTCTCATTTGGGTTATTAGGTTTCAACCTAATATTATTCTCTAATCCTTCTTTCACCTCCAGATCACATTTTTTCTTATCTCTTCCATCCCTATTCTTTTCTCACTTCTGTACCATTTCTCTTCATCTTTTCCACCTTCAATCACCATGGCCAAAGTGCTAGGACATCCATAATGATTATTCCTCCCTCTCATGTGTGGCTACTCTTTGAGGATGGGTTAGGCGTACGAGAGCAATGAGACATCATCAAGGGAGTTCTTTATTAGTTGTCCTTGTGTATTTAGATTTCTTATATATTGACTTTTATTACTTAGTTTCTAGAAGTTCAATTTCTATTTATGGCTGACATCCAGTTATGTAAATGTTAAATTCTATGCTTTTTATTATGTGTTTTAGGCTGAGTAACTGGGTTTTGATTAATTATTTACATAGGTTAGTTGTCAACTCATTGGTGAGAAGATCTTCCATCAATTAGAGTTGGCTTTAGGAGCTAGTTATGAGGACTAAGTTTAATTGTACCTAACCCCCTAACGATTGAACTATTGTTTAGCACCTATCCCCTTCTTTAAGGGAGCATCCATTTCATATTGTATTTTAAACCACTTTCTTTTTCCCTAAAATCCAAAAAAATATTTTCCTTACATTGCATAATTTTGTTTTCAAAATGAATTTTAACTTTTTGGCAAAAAAAAAAAATGAATTTTAACTTTAATGAACCTTTACTTGCACATAGTTAATTAGGGCATTTAATAAAAAGATTCTTTGATAATGACGCAATCCTTAGTTTTATAAATTATGTTGATTTTAACCTGCACAAGGAAAAAGGTTAAACCAAACATTATATTTTAAAATATTTGAAACCTTTTTTTGCAACATATATGCACAAATACACGAGCAAGGCAAAGGGAAAGAGAGGCATCACCAAAAGTATGGCATACCTTAATATATGAAACTATTATAGCATCCAAAGAGATTGAGATTGCTTAGGGGTGTTTGGATAAAAATCAAACCATGATTTTAGAAGTAATTTTATGAAGTTTGAGGAAAGTATGTGAGAAGAGTTTTTGAGAAAAAATTTCTATATTTGAATTATGTGTCAAATGTACAAATATCCTACCCTATTCATTTGGAAATCTTAATTCAAAGCCTTCAATACTGGGTGAAAGATGCCTCCTCCTTTCATTTATTAAGGCTCTTTCTTTGTAAGTATTATAATTGAAATTGGAATAGTCTTGTTACTCCGACCAAAAAAAAAAGGATTGTGAAAACACTTTTTTAAAGTGCTTTCGGGCGAAGGACAAAACAGCGCTCCCCGCCGTTGCGCGAAGACAAAGCAAACAAAACCCCTGTTCTGTACTTTATGCTGTAAATAGCCATGTTTTGCAGCTTCCAACTTGAACTTGGCGCGAGAATGCTTATGGGAATTGAATGCAATTGAATTTGTATTAGAAATGTCGAGGCTTCTCACAAGGATTGCTGGGTTTTTCAGCAATCGAACTCAAGTTGGAGTTGACAAAGCGGGGAACAAATACTTTACTAGAAAAGAAGAGATCGATGGTGTAAGTAAGTGGGTTTCTATCCTTTCTCTCGTGCCATCAATATTTTTTCTCTGGCTATCGCTATTATTGTGAATATGTAGTGATGCACTCGCACTTGCGAATTGTACTTCCTAAAACTTATGTACTCTTGTTTACTTGAGAGCACGATTTTATTTACTTATTTTCGAATTTTCAGATTGAGTTCAGATATGTACCCGGTATAAAAGCCATCAGTTCTCAAGAAATGCATGCTATTAACTTGGACTCATGAAAGCTAAAATCCTAACTTGGGTCTCTTCTATAATTCACTGGGGTCATTTGTTTTGCTATACTTAAGATGTAATAGCATAAGTGGCATCCCTTGTATGTCTCCAACTGCTGGAGCTTGCAATTTTCACAGCTTCAACTGACGTTTTATATTACAAGGTCGCTCCTTTGGCATTTGTTTGAACTTTCAAAGAGGAGATATTTACGAAATCTTTAAAGAGGGGAATATTCATAAAAAAAATCTCAAAATTTGCACATTTGTCTCTGGTTTGGACAACTGACCATAAATTATTTAACTCTTGTATGAAGCTTTTATTTATGATGTTGGAATTTTAAAATCCTTGTCCTCTGCGAATTGTGTTGTCTTTAATAATTTAATTTGCATTATAAATGAAGTATATTTTACAGAAAATCTGTCTCATTCTTTGTTTCCCCCTTTTCCTTGGCTTGGTTTACTAGTGAAAGAGAAAAGATGGGTGATTTTTAAGGGAGAGGCGGATTCTACTACACTTCCAGGTAAATCTCTTAAAGGTGCTATCATTCAACTGTATACTTACTGGATTCACTGTATGATTAAATATGTATGTTATAAGACACTAGAATAGGTTAAACAATAATTTTTTTTAGCACCCGATTGTTATTTCTATTCTGATGAATGGTTACTGCTTAATTGTTATAGTTGAATGGATATGTTGGTTGAATGGGCAGCGTAAACAGGCTCCAATACCGGAGGTAAATTCAAACGAATTTGTTCCTCTACAATTTTTATTCTGTTTCTCTTCCAGCACTGTAACGTGTTCTGCATAAAGTGCTGTTGATGTTTCTTTAACGTCTAATTTTATGATTTTTCTAATTGACACTATTGTATGCAAGTAATTATGAAATAAATTCAGACTTGGATTATCTAAAATTAGAACCTTGTAAAGTGCCTCAAATCAAGGAAGAGATAGAGAGATCAGAGGAGTTTGATGGAGAAAGAAAAGGAAGTGTTATTGCATATATTAGCACTAATAATTAATCAAGCACTTCATTTTCATTGGATCCAATTTCATTAAATTGGTATGTGATTCCTATGATGCTAGGAGCTCTTAATGTTCTTCCGAAGTAAGAGTAGAGAGAAAAGAGAAAGTGGGTGGAACTAGAGGAAGTGGATCCTATATAAACATCAACTTATGTGACTTTTTCATGTACCTTGGCTAGAGGCAGTTCAACTTAAAAGAATCCTAATTTATCTAATAAGATTTGGATTATCTAAAATTGGAAGCTTCAATTTTTTATTTGGTTTCAAATAAAAGAGAGAGCTAGAAAGAAAAGAGGGGTGGATGTGAAAAGAGGAAATGAGCCCTTGACACTCTTCCTTGTGTGTCCCTTTTACTTAAGAGGCATTTCAACTTGGGATGTTTTATTGAATTCTGATTTTAATCTTTGACATAAGATCATAAATTGCCTATGAGGTAAAAGAAGAATAGAAAGTAAGGAAAGAGGGAGTGGGTTTAAAGGAAGTGAAGCCCATATACACTTTCATTTGTTGTGCCACTTCACTAATCCCTAGAAAGATGTGTTTATTGTTATAATCAGAGTGATTATCGAGAAAGAAACAATATTTCTGTAAGAGGCCTCTTGATTCATTGAACCGTAATCTATCTGTATAAAAATACATGTGGAATAATTTGGGCAAAAGCTATTACTCTAGTTGAATACAAATTATTCTAAGTGAATCTAAATTAATCAATTGATTATAAGATTTAGATATTCTTCTTTGAAGAAGTAAGGCATAACTTTTTTTCCCATTTTTTCCAATCCTCTAGGTTGGTCTTTCTTTCTTGTTGGATGGGTTGTTTTGTTGGACTATGTGATTAACTGTACAATTTTGACTACCTCTTTGACTTTAGACTTTAGAACTATAACTTTGAGATTAGCTCTTGTTGAAGTATCTTGTTATCTAAGAAGCGAAGATTTTATAAAAGCTCAATAATTTTTGCTATTGCTTGAAAATGTTTCTTTTTAATTCCTCCCAGGAAATAGCGGAGTTGGAAGCAAGGCGTGAACGTGTTAGACAAAATGTTGCCTGTATGTGGCATACTTCTCTTAACTAATATTTATAGTTGTTATTTTTTTGCTCCCAATGCTTTGCAGCTTTAATGCTGTCAGTTTTGTGCATAATAATTCTATTGCAATGAAATTGATTAATACATATTAATGATATGGCTATATATTTGATATATAATTGTAATGAAAAGTAAGAGAGTTGGTTAGAGTCTATTAATGGATCCCTAGGCCTATGAATAGGAGGGGTTGGGTAGACCATAAGTAGGTTATGAGAATGATAACAAGTTGGGTGGAATAGAATTTCTCTCCTAGTTCTGTTGTCTTGCTCTTTGTTCTATCTTTCTCTTTTTCTCCTTTCTCCCTCATTCCCAACATATATTCTATATCACTTAGATCTAGAGCCAAGCTATGCTCAGTATCATGGACATGAAGCAACTTCAAAGATACTTCTGCAGAGTTATGAGTAATATTCTATTGTTCATGGAAAAAAGATTTGGCAGAGTTCTGAGAAATGTTCTACAAGGAAGAACTTATCTTAAGATGTGGAAGTCATTTATGCCAATCAAGAAGGTGCGGTTCCTCTGCCATCAATTCCAAAGTAGTGCAACAAAGTGCACAATGTAACAACCATTCAAGAAAAAGAGGGGTTGCCCTTACCATCAAAGCGTGACATGCACCTAATAATGAAAGAAGATTCTATTAGCTCTCCCAAAAGAAGAAGAAGCTAAAGGAGCTTCTATCACTCAAGAAAAATGAAACAAAGCCCTTTCATTCTTTTCTATGCTACTTGAAGAGGGCAACCCTTACAATTTCATATCCTCAGCTCCGCCAGGTTGTGGGCTTTTGTGACGGAACTCAAAGGTTTGTAAGAGGGTTGATGCTATCTTTCGTGATGTGTTCTTTGTCAACTTTTGTTTCTCTTTGCCTTCCGCTAACTATTTATGTTTCTTCATCACCACTACTCTCTATGCTGGTCAAAGGCTCAAAGCAAAGGGGTATTTGAAATAGAATTGTGGCTTAAATATGGTAGTAGGAGTGGTAATATGGGCAAACCTATGGGTTGAGCCTATGTGTGCAGGCCAAAAAGGCTCTTTTGCAAGTGGGTTGGCTTTTAGCCAATCTTAACCCACCAACAATTATTTATTTATTTTTAAATTTTTTTATTTTTTAATTTTTTTCTTATGCAAAATACAATAAAATATAATTAAATTTTTGTTTTTCCTTCAAATACTTGATTGAAAGTACCAAATAAATGATATAGGTATTTTTTTGAAAGTTTTTAGATAGGATATAACATATAATAATATAATTATAATAATTATTAAAGTTGAAATGAATAAAAAAATGCGGATTAGCCCTCGAGTTAGCTGGCTAACCGGTGTCAGGTTACGAGCTTGGCAATGCGGGTTGAAAAAGCTCGTCTACTAACGAGATGACTGTTAGCCAACTCTAACTCTATTTTTGACGTGTTGGTGAGTTGGGCCTACGAGTCCAACTCATAACTAGTTCTATGTGGTGTTTCAAAGGTATCGATGCAACAACTCCTTTGAGTTGTAGGGTCACTGTCATTGTCATGGTTTGTTCGGGTATTCCTATGTTGTTCTTCCAAAGTTGTCACCATAGTTTATTTTTGGTTCATCTTTAGATTGTATATGATGGGCCTTAAAGACCGTTTTGAAATTATTCACTTCTTTGCACATCTTGCTTTATCCTTGATTTTTAATGTAACTTGCTTGAAAACTCTCTTCTTTAACTAGGAAGAAGAGTAAAAAATTGGTTTGTTTCACATGGCTATGCAATTTTGATGGAGACTTGGTATGGGATATCAAGTCCCACATCAAGTAGAATGAAATGTTCAATGGGATATTTAAGTGGGTTGGTTCTTCCACCGGATTTATTAATTTTTGAGGTAGGGTTTCCCATTCCATCTGCTATCCATCAATTAGTATTAAAGTCTAGTTGTTGATAGTTGTGGAGTACCTATGCAGGGTTCTAACTAGCAAAAGGCCAAGTGCAGTGTCGTGGAATGCAATTGTCAAGACGTTAGTTTTTCATGGGGCCAATTGATAGAGACTTGGTGTTATTGGATATTAAGTTTCACATGGAGTAGAATGAGATACTCAATTGGGTATTTAAGTGGGTTAGTTTTTCCACCTCGATAGCTAGCTTTTGGGGTAGAGCCTCCCATCCCACTCAAGTATCCATCAAATTCTAAGGGTTGATAGATATGGGCTGGCTTTAGCGAAGAGGAGAGTTGCATGTTTTTTCTGCATAAAATTTCAGAAGTACCTGTTTTTGTTTTTGAACTGTTCATAAGCTTTAATGAGGAGTTTGGTGTACCCAATGTCACCTATCAATTTATGTTGCCTCTGATTTACTTTGCCGGGAAAGGACTATGGCTGAAGATGTGCGGGATAAAGTTTGGGAGTATTTTGGAGGAATTGTTTCATGTTCGACAGACATTTACTACCAACGCTTAAAGGCATGGCTCACTATTCTTCTGTGATATTATCTATAAATAAACCAAAGCTTTTTCTTAGGTCAAATCTTTTAGCAGTTGTTGCTTGCATGAAAAGGATAGATGGTCTGTAACTATAGTAAATGAATTATCCCTTGAAGATACAAATTACCTATATATTGATTTTCTCAGGCAAAAACATATTGAAAGGGTAGTGCTCCAGATTTGTGCTACTCCATTATTTGCAATTAATTGTCACCCATTTTATGTCCCAACTTGTTTCAACCTACTGAAGTTTGAAGTTTCCCACATGATTGAAGGTTTCCACTCACATGGAGCACCTGCACTGACGCTTATTGGGTTGATGGCTAGGCAACATGTATGCAGTGGGGTTCAGCCCTTTCTGGACGAAATCCTTAAGTGTTGATCCTGTTCAGTTAAAGTTTGTGAGTATGTCTTTTACTTAAAAAGGAATATGGAGAATTCTTCAACGACATTTTGAACTGACAGTTTATAGATGTCTATAGAGTTGAGGGTATCTGGGTTATCTTGACAAATGGTATTGCTTGTATTCTAGATTCTAGCGGGCTTTGATTCAGGATAATCTGTCTCTACTCTTTTAAACAGTGTAATGTGGTTCCTAGATCAGTTATATTGGAACCTGATGCGGTTGCTGAGCTGGATGTACCAATTGAATGGATCACATTTACCTTGTGTGGGTTGATGGAAAACATCATTGCTTTTGCATGGCCTTGCACGACCAGCTATCAAGGTGATTGCAAGTATAACATGATGCACATCTTAATTATACCATGAGTGTCAACAGTCATGGAGCTAGTGGTTGCATTTCTAGTTGGATTATAACGAAGCCACCAATCCTTAGCTCTACTTCTCACCGAGTGGCCAAGTTGAAACTTTGAGGGCTGGTAAATGTTGGACCCATGGCTAATGGGCTCTTATTTGATGGGCCGAGACTAAGTCACGTGAAGTGCTTGAGGTTGGTGACTAAGGGAGAGATAAGGGCTATTAGTTGTATTTAGAAGGGGTTCAAGCAAGCTGAACGTGAGTTGCATGTGGGAGAGTCTCTAGCCTCTCGAATGCTAGAGGTGGTTTTATGTTCCTTTTATTTCCTTTCATTTTTGTCAACTGTTTTGTAGGTTAATCCATCAAACCAACACTCTGGATTATTCTGGTGATTTAGTATCAATTCTGGATGTGGTTTCCATCATTATGCAATCACTTCTGTCTTAATTATATTCAGAGAGCTTAATAAACAGTTTTTTTTTCTTTTTTTCCTCTTTTGAAATTTCACATAGTGCTTAAAAAGGAGGAGGAGGAAAGGAAAGCAAAAGAAGGAAGTACAGGAAAACGCCCAAGCACTGGTAGATGTCTAAAAAATTTTTAGTTTGCAATCTTCTTCGCTGCCTACATTTTGCATTTATTGACAGATTTGCATTTCGTACAGAAAAAGTTGGTGGTCCAGACTTAAAATGTTTTATTCGCCAATTTCCTTCTGAAGGTTATCTTCTTTTTCCTTAATTTTTTTCCCTCAAAATACTGGGTTCCCTCAGAGAATGTTGCTCCCAACCCCTTGGTGAAACAGAAGATATATGCTGTTCTATGCATTACCTTTAGTCTTAAATATAAGATCTTGTTTGGAGTGCAAATTACACTGCAAACTTGGTCTTATATTTAGGACCGGAGGCAGCATATGATTATGTTTAATTTTAGTACCTGGTTGTGAAAACTAAATAATCTTCTGAAAATTATGAGTATACCTCTACTCCAACCCGAGAGAGAGAGAGAGAGCCTTCTAAGAAGGCGCAGTTATTGTATATTTGCTTGTTCATTGCTCAAAGTATTTAACATGTTCCCTACGCCAGGTGATGCTGTTGAAGAGTCATCTGCCACAATTGGTGACTTAAGGTGAGCCTTGGGAGGATGCATGTATATCCATGCCATTTACTGTCTGCAGAACTAAGAATTTTATAATGCTTAAATTCGCTATAATTTAGATATAAATTAACGTTTGCTTTTTCTTCCCCCTTTTCTTTTTTTGTAAATCCTTCTTCAAAAGATTCTTCAGTTCACTTTCCTAGTGCAATATTCTTGTTTAGCACACTAATGACTGTGATCGTGACAGAATACAAGGAGCATATAACTATTAACGTTACAAAATGAATAATGATGTAATCTTTGATTGAGAACTATGATCTTTTGCTGGACAGCCCTTTTCCTCAGCCTCATTTTAAAACTTTCTTTGGACCTTTCAAGTATGGGCAATTATTTTGGTTGACCATTTTTTCCATGTTCCCAATGGTATTTTCTTTCAAGTCTTGTGCAGCTTTTTTGTTTGATTTATCTTCTTTTGCATGCGAGATTTTTACATATCCTTTATATACTAAAAGATGTTTGCTTACATTAACAACTAGCATGGTATCATCTTTGTGCAGGAATTCTCAAGAGAAGGCTTCTGATAAGGGAAAAGTAGAGCCTGAGTAAGTTTACGTTTCTAAAATGATTCAGTTCACCATGTTTTAGTCCACAAAGCTCCTGAAAACCTAGGGCATATTAGGTGCTTGAGGCTGTGTTGAAGCTCTTGAGCATAAACCTGAGGACACAACAAAATTAAATGGTTTAAAATGTTTAATGACTTTGTCATCTATTTTAGTTACAAGATTTATCCCACGAATCATCACCTGATTAATTATCCAGTGTTTGAATGTCTTATTTCAGGTCATCTGAGCCAAGAGGGTCTGGTGCATCATTCAAACCGGGAACCTGGCAACCTCCAACTTGAATACTCTCTCTTGAGTAAAGCTTTGCTCGCACCCGCAGCATTCGTTTCTATGCCATTTGGTCAGTTTTAAAATGAAAAATGAATGATTTAGTTGAAAAAACGACTTATTTCTTCATTATGAAATTTTGGGTAGGAAATTCCTGTGAGCGCAAACTCATAGCATTGCTTGTTTGTTGGTTTATGAACAATTTTGTCGAAGGAATCTGTTCGGAACCCAGTTTTAAGTCTTGGAACCTGGTTAAGATGACACAATGCTCTTTGAACTGATAGAAAATAAAATGAGATCTTATCACGTTTATGGGTTCAACTGAAGATCGAAACAAAAAAATTATCTTGGTCAAAAAAGAAGCAAAATAATTAGGAAGGGGGTCAAGGTCGGCCAGTGAGACAATGGGACATAAGTTTTATCGTCGAGAGGAAAACAGTCCCGATCACCATCTATGGTTGGAAGGGGTTTTTTCTCCCCTTTCTTCCTCGGTAAAGTTAGATGGTAGAGAGGTAACAATACAAAAAGTAGCGACCATTGAAGGAAAAAAATCAGCAGAGATGATGTCAGTATGCGTGGCCGCTGTAAGGCGTTGCGTTTGAGATGAAAGCCAGTCACAGCATTGTATTGGAAGCAAATCGCTTATTGGTTTCCAAATTATTCATTGTCTCAAATTTATAATGTTTTCCAATTTATTCTTACAAATTGTACTTATTGGTTTTTTTTTTGGGGGGGTGGGGGGATATTTTAAGAAATTAACACATTTTTGTTGCAAAAAAGAAGAAAAACGTAAATTTAATGGTAAAAATCGCATTTTTTGATGTTGTGGCACATGGGAAGACTTGTTTAAGTAAACATTTGAGAATTTGTTGCAGGTTTATCTTGTCCAATATGGCATCACTTAGGAGGAGCTGGATTTTGGGTCTCTAAAATTTTGTTTAAAAAAATTAACTAATGTATATAAAAATTAAACTCACTCTAAGTTCTTATAATGAATTTTGGTTTTGCTTCTCATTTCTTTGATCATATTTTTTCTATCCATTTCATATCGTCCAAAACGTTGGTTTCTATGATTTCATAAAGACTTGTTCAAAATGTTGGTGTCTATAATCTTATAAGGGTTTGGACCTCAGCTTAACAATGTTAAGAAGGTTGACAAAATTGATTTAACTGAACGAATTTGATTTTGTCAAGGCATAATGCATGGAATTTTTTTTTTTTCACAACTCATTATTTTTGATAGGTCAACTTTTGATGAATATAACATTCGTAATTTAACTTTAAATTGGGCAAATTAGATATTTTTGAAAAGCTTTTTGAATCTAATTCCTAATGCATTAAGATCCTTCTGCTAAAAATAAATGCATTGAGATCCATTTAATAGAGCTTTGTATTTTGAAGGATATAATCAAAATAGTAAGCAAAAGTCGGAAATGTTTTTCTTTATAAATTGAAATACTAGATTTCAAATACCATATCTATTTTATGTGAAAAAATTTTATTAAGATAAATGTACTGAATAACTTATTGAGTCTAGTTTCATATGGAATAAGTTCACTTTAAAATGTTTTATAGTTTAGAAGATGTTGCAATAACATTGATCAAGGGTTAAGCTAACATATTTGATGCCCTAACAAAATCCATTTTGTTCAATGATATTGATTTTGTCAGCCTAACGGTGTTACCTTAGCAAAATCGACCTTGCTCACTGAAATTGATTTTGGAGAGAGAATATTTCGAGTGACTAAACGGCATAAAATCCTCCATCTATGCGTATGAAAAATTAGGCACAATCATTAGAACAAAGAACAATTTTGACAACACCGGTTAACAGGCCAAATCGGTGCAGCGTGTCCTATTCATGTTCACCCGCTTCTCTGTGCTTATTAGCCTTCTTTCGGTCTGATTTGAACAGTTTAAATTTAATTTTTAATTAATTATTTTTAAATAAAAGTTATTTTTCTTAAAAAGTAATAGTTAAGAGATTATTTTTAGAGTAAAATACACCTTTCTGTTTTGCCTTACTACACAAACCTCCCCTCTATTTTGAAAATATATATTTTAGTCTGGACCATTAACATTGTTAAACAATATTCTAAAAAAATTCTTTAAATATACTTTTTAATTAAAAATCATATTAGAATAAATTTTGTTTATAACTTTAAGCCCTTGTTATACTAAATCTTTAATTTATATTTTAACATTAATAATTTCACTAAATTAAAATAAAATTGAAGTAACTTAAAATACTCACAACATGATTGAAGATTTGAATAACTTTTTCACAAAGATGTGTTTTATGAAATATGTTTAAAAATTTTGAATTATAACATATTAGTATAAGAATATAAAAATTATATCATTTTATAATATGATAATATAATTGAAAATATATATACGATTACAAAACAATCTCAGCTAACAAAAAATATTGAAATATGTATTAAAATATTTTAATTTCATATAAAGATATGTCATATGAGTTTGAATGATGATTATTAAAAAATATTTGCGTTAAGGAGGGGCATTTTGGTCAAAATAACATGTCAGTGCTATGATTTAATGGTCAACTAATTAACTTTAGGGTGGATAAAAGTTGAATCTCAACACTAGAAGAAGGGTTTATATATTTTTTAAATGGGAAAACATATTTGCAGGTCTTTATAGTTTGATCAAATTTTAAATTAGGTCTTTATAGTTTTTTTTTTAATTGAATCCTTGTAGTTAATTTTGTTAAATTTACAAGTCCCTCTGTCACGAATGTTGCAAACGCCATTAACCCACAATGGTAGAGGATGATTTGGCAATGCACTCTCTCCACTCCCCCAAGTCTCTCTCTCTCTCCATCACCTTTCTCTCTCATCTGTTAAAGCTAACCACGATGAGCTCGATGAAACCCATAAGGAGTGAAGAAGGACTGCCTCTTTGACTGATCCTACTCCTCATCAACATGAGCACGCTGTTTCTATGCTGTTATAAGTTCAATTACACCAAGATAGAGTATAGTGAGGATTGGCATTCATCATTGCACCCATGGCAATTTTTTCGGTGAACTCCTATGGCCACTTTCATTAGCACCATTGCTTCTTTGCCTTTTGTTATAGATAAGCAAGATTTGATGAATTCAGATCTCAGAGAAAAACTATTTGCTATAATTATATATATATATATATATCATGGATCAGGGAAATATGATAAACATGAAACTTGCCAAAAACGTAGTGTGCTAGCTCAAGTAGACTAGAATCAGAGTGATATGAAAAGGAGGTTATATATATGCCAGAAATATTATTACAAAGTGAAGAAATAAAGCCTAGCATGCTGAAAATATTTCATCAATTCCTCCCATAAGACTTTGATCAAATCTTTTTCTTTCTAATATATTATAACAGCATAGAAGCAGCATGCCCATGTTGATGAGGAGTAGGATCAGTTGAAGAGGTAGTCCTTCTTTACTCCTTCTAGGTGTCCTCGAGCTCATTGTGGTTAGCTTTAACAGATGAGAGAGAAATGTGATGGAGAGAGAGACACAAACTCGGGAGAGGGGAGAGAGAGCATGTAACACCTCCTTTATTACCTCACTATACGTCAATTAAAACCATTATAACGCATTTCCTAGCGTTTCCAAGCAAAAAGTTTTCAGTTTCAAAATTTTGCATTTAATTCTGTTCGTACACGTTCATTCGAATTTGGGCCAACTTTAAAAATTCATAACTAATTCTAAAAAAATCGAAACAAGGTGGTTCCAATTTTCACATGAAGCTTGCTAAGAGTTCTATAGAGAAAAAATATTCATTTGACTTAATTCCATCCAGAACAACACCAAAAAATTTGACAATATACACTATCCATATGGTTAATTTTTTAATTTTTAGTATTTTAGTCTAACTCTAGAAGGGCATAACTCTTAGCACAAAACTCCAAATTTAATAGTTTATCACTCGATTTAAAGCTAAAAATGAGATCTATAAGTCTGCAAAATCTCAAATCTAAATTTTATCATTTGCTTATTATTTTATGTGACACCATTTTATCCCTAATCTAGGCATTTTATCCCCCAGTCACTTTTTTCTTGAATTTTATATTCCTTTCTCCTTTTCCATACCCTTTAGGCATTTTATCACTCAATATTTCAATACTTGGACATATCATACCAATATAATTTACAACATATTATCATTCATAATCCATTATAAACTTGGTATAAAGTTTAGTAACACATCACATGACATTCCAAAATAACATAATAATTATCAAGCTTCTTTATCTCAATACCAGCTCCTTGCCTTGATCCATGGATGAGCCACTTCCTAAATGATAAATAAATTGACATAGGGGGAATGAGATTTCATAGAAATCTCAGTAGCATTTGAATTACAATCATCATGCAAATCAAGCAAGTTACAATGTGACATGTTATAGAACCTCAAGACATCCTCAAGTTACATAAAATCATATCCAACAATATGCTAGGAAAGGAACATTAACACTTCCAAACTAACACAATCCAATGCATTTGGCCAAAGCATAAATCAAGAGTATCTAGCCAACTAAGATTACAACACAAGTTCCTCAATCCAAGCAAACAACATATCATATTAAACAAGCAAGATAAACAACCAAATTATAATTCAAAGCTACCTTTTACTACTTGTCCAATTCGGTCACCTCAAGGGACAATGATCCTTCTTGATTCCTCCTCACAAAGCCTATTAAATCAAGCATAAACATAGGCCATATTAATAGTCAAACCACTTAAACATAACACTTTATCTTTAACTTAACAATTTCCCCCTTTTTCTTGGATTTTTAACAAAATAATTTCTCCTTTAGAATCAATAACCTCATGACTCATTCCCACACAATTTTTCATGAGGAATCCAAGTATGAAATCAGATTTTTAAAAATCAAACTCCTTCCCTATGAAATCATGTTGGCTGAATAGGGGGTATATACTTCCAAAAATTCTACTTTTGATTTCAATGATTTTAAACACTTCCCAATAGTATATCCCTACACAAAAACATGTTTTAAACCCATT